TGGAACTTACTGTTTACAGAATTGCAAGTTTGTTATGATGTAGGCTCTACTTAAACATGATAATGGAAATATTGTATGTAAATAGCAACTAGTTATTCAATTAGATTATATGTTGCTTTTGCAAATTAAGAGCAACATTTTATGATTTCCTAGATTTGTTATTCTAAATTTAAATACCATTTGTTACCATGAATTCTTTGTAAAGGAAGGGCTTTATCTAGCACTTTTCTTTATGTTGAATCGTATACTGTATTTAACATTTTTAGGATAAAGTTGTTACTATCCAGAATAGAATTGCTTTTTGTTTTTGTTGATTTCTTTTTGGCCCACCCAGGGTGTTCATCCAATTGATATTTTTACCTTATAAAAATAAGGAGGAGCTGGGCATGGTGGTGTGTGCTTGTAGTCCCAGCTCCTAGGAAGGCCAAGGCAGGAGGATCACTTAGCCCAGGAGTTGGAGGCCATCCTGGGTAACATAGCCAGACAAAGCAAGTAAAAATAGTTAATATAAATGTCAGAATACTTGAAATGTTTATTGTAATAAAGGTCTTGTCTGCCTCCTCTGTCTCGGTGGACCTAAGAGTCAGCGTTTCCCAGGAGTCTGTTCTCCTCATTTCTTGACCTGGGGCTCTGTGCCTGGGGACGTTGGAATAACAAGAACCAAAAATTTGGGGGAGTTGCCAGTTAAAAATGTTTAAAGATGGAGGAAGACACCATCTGTTAAGATTTGGCATCAAATTAAATAAAGGATGAAAGCTATTGTAGTAGTCTTGGGGAAAGAGGTATTACGAAGAATTAAAACTCAAAGGTTTTTTTTAAAATTTAACCTTATTTTATTTATTTGATTTTATGAGGCGCTGAGAATTGAACCCAGTGCCCCACATGTGCTAGGCCAGTGCTCTGCCACTGGGCCCTAGCCCCAGCCCAATTTTTTGAGATTTATGAGCATCTGATTTGGACCCGAGAGTTAATTTTCAGCTGTGGGCAGAGAGGGTTCTGGGCCCTCAGCAGTGACCCTGTCTCCCCAGGCCTGGGAGGAGGAGATGGCGCGCTTTCGGCAAATGTTCAGACACCCGGGTCATGTGCAGCTGAAGGTGGTCGCGGGCAACCACGACATTGGCTTTCACTATGAGTAAGTGGTTCACCAAGTCACTGTTCCCCAGAGCCGAGGTACGAGCTCATGTCAGACCTGCTGAGATGCAGGGCAAAGCCTCACCTGTGCTGTGTGGGGAGCCTGTCCTCCAACCAAGCTTGGGAGTGTGAGCTGCTCAGGGACCCTTAACATAGTGGAATGTCCACCCAGTGTCTGCTGCAGGAACAAAGCACAGTGCCCTTAGGAATCAGTGGCCAGACTGTTTTCTTTAGGAGTCAGAAAACAAGACCATTGAGACTTGCACAGCTCACAGGAATGTGGGGCTGCAGTGTTTCATAGGAGCCTGCTCAGGTTTCTTCCCTGTGGTAATCTGGTCTTTCCTGGGGCCTGTTGTTTCACTCTTTGCTCCAATGAGGAGGACACGAGGTCCTTGGGAGCCAAGCAACCTGCCTGGGGCCTCTGGGTGTGTAGTTGAGCTTAGATTTGAGCTTCTCTAGCCTGGGGTCAGCTGGAGCTCTCACCTAAAGGTAATGCTAGTGTGACATTCAGATCCTCAAAGTTACTTGCAATGTTCAGAATAACTCCAAGGTTCTAATATGGCTTAATCTGAAAAAATGTTTCTCTTGACAACTGAATCTAGGATGAGCCCCTACAAAGTAAAACGATTTGAGGAGGTGTTCAGCTCCGATAGGCTGTTTTCTTGGAAAGGAGTAAAGTGAGTATTGGTCGTGAATTCTTATGAAGATCTGAATCCTTGGAGGCTGCTCCCCTCCCCTCCTGTTCCTCTTCCCCTTCCTTTCCTCTTCCCTTCCATTTCTTCTCCCCTCCCCTCCCCTCCTCCTCTCCCCTCCCCTCCTCCTCTCCCCTCCCCCTCCTCCCT